GGGATTTCCCAAACAAAGTCTTCATGCATTTTGGAACGAATTTCCGTCATCCCTTGTCAAATTTGGCTCGGAGACAAACCGGTTTCGGCGTTGTGCCATCTTCAGTGTCATTTTTCGTTCATATATTGGCTCAAGGTGTTGCGAAAAAAGAAAAACACCAAAAGTATACAATACAAATAAAGTAAATTGATGATAGGAAAATGAACAAAAAATTTTATTTTAAACTAAACAAGGCAAGTGCGAAAGCATTATTAAGCTCCGTTGAATATATAAAAAAGAATCTGAATTTTTGAACAATGGCTTCCAACCAATTAGGGATGGCATTAAGTTGGATTCTTTGAGAGAAGCACATATGTGTATATGTATGTATTTGCTTTACTGTGGTCGTCACTTAGAAAATAATCCAAGATTTTAAATATTTGGATCTTTTCACGAAGCATTCAATGAGCTGCAGAAAATTAGAATAGAAATTCGAATGCCTTTACAAGCCGATTATTAGTAATATTTGAGCGATTTAAGCTCTGGAATAAAATCAAGCAGGTATTATTTCATCTTAACTCGGATTAAAGTGTCTTCGAAAATATTTAAATTATTGAGATTGTAGTCGGACGCCTATTCAATAAAGTCGCACATGCAAAATAAATTCAAATGTCTTTTAATGAGCAAATTCGCCTTGGCAATAGTTTTCTGGCTAAATTTTTGTCAACGTTTGCCATCTTTGCTTATTTTAGTGCATTGCAGACACTTTCAAAAGTGTGAACTAAATGGCAATTCATTCAATGAACAAGGCTCGCCACTTCAATTACGGCTAAATATGGCTTAGTCAGCAATTAGCATAAATAGTTATTTATATATGCAAATATCTTTAAGATGCAAAATACATACATAATATTTATAAACAACAATTTCTTGTTTTCAACGGAGCTACTTGTGTGCGCATTTCTTGGAATGTTGTTGACGCATAGGCGCACAGCTTCAATTCCAAATACTTACTCAATGAATGAGCGCGACATTTGACATTCACTTGGCTGCGAATAATTTTCATATTTTCCGTATTTATTTGAGAGTGTGGATGTATGTATGTGTTCTGCTATGAACGTGCAAAATGCCAAATAAGCCGATCTTGACAGTTGTCAAGTGATGATGATTGGTAATTGAAAAACAAAAAAGAAAGGCACTAAAATAAAATTTTTGAAGGATAAAAATGCGTAATAAATAGTTCACATCACACAAGCGCAGGTACATATTTATGTGACTGAATTTAAATTTCGGAAAAAATACAAATTTTTCCCTCTCAATTAAATTCCAAGCTATAAAAAATGGTAATAAAATCATAAATAACAATCAAGTGTGTGCCAATGAAATCGAATAGCGAACCAACAATAAAATAAACATTTAATTATTTAAATATTTGTAGCAGGTTGAATGGGTTAAAAACCAAAAAGGCGAAACACCAACAGTTTTTTGTGGGTTCGAATTTCGTTTCCTCATTACTGGCTGCTGCTGCCTAAATGGGCATTTCACCGGTCGCATAAAAAAGACAAAAACAAAGGCGATACCTCGTTAGCAGGTTTTGACTATGAAAATATGGAAATATTAACGAGTACATAAATACATACATAGAAATATTGCTGTGAATAATCGATAAGAATTTGTAGCATTCGAAAGTTTAAAAAACTAGTTTAACCACACAAGGAATATGTATTGACTAGAATATGAATTTTCACATTTATTGAATTTATTGTTTTTGTGAACATTTGCGTAAATATATGTATGTACATATTTAAATATGTATTGTCTTTCAATGTCAAGCCATTTTTTTTTGAGCAAGAATTCTATTTAGCTCACATACTTAAATAAGAAGCAGTCCGCGATATGGTCCATATAAATAACTTTTGCCTGGCTCAAAACGAATTTTCTTCTTTGGTGGTTCACAACAATAACAAAGCATGTTTAACAGTCATTAAATATCTGATATTATAAAAATATGACTCGTTCATACATCTTGTGAATCCCCAGCGTAAGTAAAGTCTAGTTTACTTAGTGAAATTGGCACTTATATTCTTCCGATTATAATTAGCTGATGTACAGGATGTCACAACGTGATAAAATCATCACTCAATGAATCACACAAAATTAGTTTAAACTTTTATAATATTTATGGTTTAATACATATGCATACACGACTACGGGTGATTCCAGATTAATGAACGTTGCTTTTATCGTAAATCATATTAATCGATTTTGAATTGATATATTCATCGTTTTCGATAGTTATTGGTCCGACAAATAAACAAATCGCAAATAGATTACGAAACACTTTTCGATTATGTTATCGATATATTTATGTCTATTTATCGAGTTAGTTGTCTATATTTTTTTCAATATCGTTACCGAAACACCTTTAACACTTTTATAGGCTCACAAAATATAAAATTAGCATGAAGACGGAGTTTCGATGTAATTTTCGATTTGCTATAAGACATGCAAATGAACATATGCATCTAATATCATATTCTGAACATACATATTCATCGGCAACTCATATTTATCGATCTCGCTATCAGGAAATTTATCGATATTGTTGTTATCGATTTTTTTTTTCATTCGTGTATACATATTTGTTAAAACAAAAAAAAAAAACTCCTATCGATATTGATCAATTGTACATATCGATAACACGGTTGCCACATTTGGCCACTTGTGACCAAAATAGGTAACTTTTTGAGTGCTTGTTAACTTGGCTACTTTTTTTTAACTTGGTAACTTTTGAAAAGTTTGCCATGTATAAAGCCAGACTAAAGAAGTTGGATTCAATTTGATAAATTGTACTGTGGTTGTGTGTAGCTGTGAGAACACTGCCAGAAACAAGTGCATTGATCAGGCAACACAACGCTCAGGCAAAACAACTAACCAAATTTTGAAGAAAAGTATCGCGTTAATTTATCACAGTGTAGAGCGCCTGTCACACGTTCTATATTTATTGTGATATTTGGATCGTGATCCGTATTGACGGATTTCAAAATATTGATGGATCGCGCGAGAATGCTACATGTTCAATATATATCGCGTCAGTATTTACATGTTCTTGTGTTGAGAGGCTTAAAGTCCAATTGATGAAGCCTGGAAATCTAATCAAAATTTAATGCTATTTTATTCAAAATTATCTATACTTTTTATTATATGTATGGTATTATAACATCTAATTTGTTTGAAATGCAACGCAAATTGCCGGGCCGCGAATTGATATCACGAAATATGCCACGTTCAATACTTATTGGCAGAATTTTGATCCATATATAGAGAAAAAAAAGAGGTTCGAACAGCAGTTTGTGTGGTGTATTTGGGCTCTTTAGTGCTTCGGTATATGCACTTATCGGTTTTTTCAAAATTTTATTTTTTTTTCTGAGGCTAAGATGCCGTACAAAAGACAAGAGCTCAAAGTTACTTGGTAACTTTTTTTGTAAATTTTGGTCAGAAAATTTTTTGTTATGTGGCAATCGTGATCGATAGTCCTCTGCTGTAACAAAACAATTCAAAATTCCGAAAATAAAATTCTTACTAAAGTAAGTAGGTAGGATTAGACAAGGATTAGCGACATGGGCCACTAACAGTAGTAAGAGTTTTTATTTTTTGAATTTTGAATTGTGTCGTTATTGCAGAGGACAATCAGTATGGCATGTACACATACATATTTATCGATTTTTTTATGGATTTTTTTAGGTTTTTTAAAAATTTCGAATTGGAAATGATAATCAATAATTTTATCAATATCGATATGTATATAGGAAGATCAGGTGCGATATCTCAACTTTTTTAAATGCCATCGATAAACGCGTATTTTCTTCTGCTTAAGTTGTTGTAAGTTTAATACCGGATAGAATCAAACAGTTATGCTGCGCAGTAAAAATACACATATGCAAGCTTCAATTAAGCTGACTACATACAGCCTCTGACGCAAGCAAATATTTTTATTGCATGCACGTCAATGTTGGTCCTCTTACATAGCCCGCTCATAAATATCAATCACACACGTAACACATTTGCCACCACGAAATTAAAGACATCAAATTCACGGTCATTTGCGAGAAAATTCTTGCTATGCTCTATGCATATTTTCGCGTATAATGATCAGGTAGTGCATTAATAATTTTCCCAACATTAGAAACATCATCACCGAGAATAATGCTTGGACGAGATTGAGTGGCAATTAAGTGTCGGCGCAGCAGTGGAAGCCGAACTGGGTGCACCACTGAAACATAGAACTATAATCAGCGATGATTATTAAGCGGTAGAAGTGGAAGAATGTACGAGTAAAAGCCGGGAGAATGGAATATGATAAAAGAAATATCAAAAAACGACTTTTGGAGGTACGTACATATGTAGATTATAGGCACAATTAGACGTAGCGGAGGGTATGCAGGGAAAAGTGAGGGGGGAACAGCCACCAGAAGTAAAGCTGGATGCAGGCGCTAAGGCAAGCCGAGGAAATAAAGTTGTTATTCGAAATTTGATATGCCAAACAGAAAGCAGTACCAAGTTTGCTTCGCATTTGTTCTCCTCAACTATTGAGTAATAATTTCAAGAAGCGCTCAAGCGTATAACGCTGTTGAAGCATAAATTTGCGCTATTTACCACAAGTAAATATGCAACAATAAAGCTTAAATATTGTTATTACGAAAATTATAGTCTGCTACTACAACTCAGCATCAACGCAATCGCGTAAAAACAATTATTTCGCCGAGCGCCAAACAGTTTGCAGCACAAACGCAAAGTGTAGCCTACTTAATGGCGCAAAAACCAGCACACACTTGATTTTTGCAATTAAAGTGCAATTTTAATTATTACTTGAGATGTATGTATGTATACTTATTGCTGCACATCTTCACACACACACACACACACACACACACACACACACACACACGCGTCAATAAATGTAAAAGTAATGAAGCCAAAAGGAGGATAAATATTTTTTATTGCCACACGAACTCGCTCACCTTTTATGTTGTATGTTGAATAGCAAATATCGGCAAACAGAAATCTATAATAAATCCGAAGTTCGATTTCCCCAACAACGCCACACAAGCAAACAAGCAGCAGATGCGTTCTTGCACGTTTTCGTTTTGCTTGCGTGACAAGTCAATCGCACAGCGATCGGACAGTGTATTGTTGCAGCTTACGTAAATATATAATCCACAAGGTCGTTTGATGTTGCAAAATCCGTAGCGGAGTGCGTTGCAGCAGCAGCCAGAGCACAAGTGCAAATTATCAAGCAGATGCGCCGGATAATTATGTTTTTTATAATAATTATTTTTTTTTCCAATTATGATTTTCTTGTTTTGGCCACCATTTTGCTTTGCACTCAACACTTGTTTTTTTTTTGTTTTGTTGGTTTTTTTTTTCGCTGCGTAATCAACTTTTGTTGAGCGGCTTTTAAGGCGATTTTGCTTGGTCGGCACGATTATTTTTCAAGCACTTGTTATTGTTGTTGTAATGCGTACTTAATATCTTCTTATTGCTGTTGTTATTGATGCATTTCCATATACCATAATGCACGCACGAAATACAGATGCGTACGCAAATGGTCCACTTGCAGCGTTGCACTGACTTATTTGTTTTTGTTTTTGTTTTTTTTTTTTTTTGTTTTATTCTTCAACGTGTTCTGTAGCCTGTTGCCCTGCTTTGTGCAGCTGCCATAAACACTTCAAGAATGCTGCACTTTTGCACTGTTCAATTACTGATTGCTGGGCACAGATGCTGGATGCATGTTTTTTGCTTTTTTTTTTGTTACCGTTAATTTTTCATGCAGAGTTAACAACCAACACAATTGCTTTCTTTCTAGTCGGGCGTTGTTTTTTGGTCAGATTGCTTTTTTTTTTTTCACTCACAAACTTGTATGTTTTTATTGAAAATCGTTTTGCTTGGTATTTATCATTTATGTTAAGTTAAAAGATTTTTCCACCGTTTTTTGTATTCTTTTTATTGACATTGACATTTCAGTTTTCAAAATGGCACGCACGCATTCCAAAAATTCCATATGCTTTTGTACGCGCTGTAATTGTTGTTTTTTAGTCAACACTTTTTCCACCAATTGCTTAATTTTTTGTTTTTGAAGCAGTTTTACTAGCGAACTCAGTACCACACACGTCACGCTACTCAATCAGACTAAAGACTAGCCTCGCTGGACGGGATCGTGTATATCGCTGCAGTCTAGAAGCGCTCATTTTCAAGTGAGTGACACAAAGTGATGAGAGAAGAAGCACAAAACCAGCTCAGAGAACAGTGAGTGAGCCAGGCGAAACAACTCTTCTCCAACTCACTTGGAAGTGCACTCAAAACATGCCGGCAACTTCAATGTGCAACATGTTGCTGAATGTCGTCAATGACCGCTGGAGTGTCGCGCCACTCAACTGCATGTGGGCTGGAGAACCTGTTTCGGTGTTCATGGTATAAATGTGTTTTATGAGTGAATGCAGAGTGCAGTGGCATCCACACAAGAAGCCAAGGTGTTTCTTTTTTTTTCGTTTGACTTTTTTCTCTTCTGGTATTATTCTGTGTGTGTGTGTGTGTGTGTGTATGTGGGTAGGCGGCTAGCCCACCATTGAACTGGCGTGCACTTATCGCAGCACGTTGGCGTTAAGCAATAAAATATGAGGAGAAAAAAAAAAAGGGTTATATTTTTTGAGCGCTATGTAAACACGTTTTTTTTTTGCTATTCGGTGACTACTCAATTGACAAGATTTGCTGAACAGATGTGTAAACACGTCAAAATTTAACTCCATCTACTTGTATTCTAAACAACTCATATGCGTCCACCAATTCTTCATAACATTCTTCCAGCCTAGCCCAGTTTGTGGCCTCACTAGATGTTGTTTTCTGTCTAGCAACATGTTGCTGCAACACATCACTCAAATTGATATGAAAATTTCTTACATACCTATGCCGTTCAGTTAAAGTAGCTTAAGTGACTTTCGAAGTTTTGATTTTGAATTAAAAAATAATCATTTTCCCTGGAAATTTTTTATATTTTTATTTTAATCTTCTATTAGAAGCGCATCTTGAACAACACCTATGGCTACTTAAAAGTTTAAAATTTTGGTTTGGGAACCCAATTAAATATTGCTTTAAAGGGCAAAGGGGCCATCCCGACTTAGGCTACTTTAATTTAACGGCATAGATATGTAGTTATGTATGTATATACATTTCTTAGCCCATTAGCAGTGTGCGTGTAGCTGATTGCGGTTTGTAGTGTAAAAATATGCTAATATTATTGTTAATTCTAGACAACTTCCTTTTCACTTTGGTTTCTCACATTTTAATTACTGCCATTCGAATTTCCCATAACACTCACGTAATTTTTCAATTTAAAATTAAATTTTTTTATACATACATACATATTTGTGTATTTTTTTATTTTTATTCATTTTGCGGCATTCGTAGGTGCTTGAAATTCTATTGTGTTTACTTAATGACGCCCCAAAGGAAGTATTTATACTTTTTATTAGCCGCTAGGTAATATTTTCAGTTATAAAGATAAAATATGGACAATAAAATGTTGTTAGAATTTTGTGTTAACAAGTGTTATAAATTTGTCTTGCGATAAATCAAAACTATTTAGTACAAAAAATGGCAGGCCAGTTCATGAAATTACTTCCAAGATGAATGAGAAGGTCCAGTACTGACCAAAAATTAATAATAATACTATAATATTTTGCTAAGTGTTTGGCCGGGCTTCTCCTCCAATTTTTTGGTGAGCGTCTTGATGTTTTCACATAAAATCGACAGACCAAAATTCAATTTCCAAGTGTTTGCATTTAAGTGACAAAAACAAAAACAACGTGAATCAGCTGTTTTTGAGAGCAAACTTTTCGCTTATTCTCTAATTACCGGATCCGGTCCGGATTGTCAGCGAAAGAACCTAATAAATCCGGACTGGCCTATTAAAGATGATAAAATATGATTTACACTTCGATAAATAATCGAAAAACCAAACTAGAGAAGACACCGATTGGAATGAGTGGAACGTAAGTTTTCAATTGGTTTAACCGAAAAATGGTTTTGGTTTGACAGGTTTTACATGGATGAAAACACAAGTTTTAGGTCGAAAACCAGTTTTAGCAACGATAACATGTTTTCGATGTCGGTCAGAACATGGTATGAGTATTTCTTCTCTCTAAGCCAATAAGACGGCAGACTTTTTGTGAGATTTTGAACCTGACTGAAAAAGGAGTACATTTGTTCATCAAATCCCATTGGGATTTTAGGGTTTGAGAGAAGGATATAGAACACTGACTCTTTCTCTCTCTTTCTCAAAATGTGGCTTACAACTCAGAAATCTGAGGCTTTTCTGACTCTAAAATGAGGCCAAATGTTTATAGGGTTATGGTGATTTCGCTTCTACCCAAAAAAATTTCACCTTTAGATTGTCTCGTTAACTTTTCGTAATCGATTCGAAAATAAAGCTAAACGGTGAGAAAATTTTGTGTTCGTTTCTTAAAATGTCACACTCATGTAAGGTAAAAAAGGCAAATCCTCTGCCCTTCGAAGATTTGTCAGGGGAGATCGTTACCCTTAAAACCGCATGGTTGCTTAAAATGAATATATTATCAAATGTGCGAGCTAGACAAGGGCAAGAAGGCAAACACGTGCCCATTTGCAGGGCTGAGTGTAACATCGAACACATATTGCACCGTAGAAGGCCAACATTAGTTCCATTCCCTAATCATTATCGGCTCTTGCACAAGTGTGGCATTTATAAATTCTTCTTCTCCCCAAGTGAATCCATTACAACTTGTTTTAATGAGCACATTAATTAGAAACTGATCTTCAACGCTTCAAAGTGACAAACATTTGTATGTATGTAAGCATAAAGAAGCTAACATTAATTGCCTTAAATGTGCTAGCGATTAAAGCTATTTAGCAAGTATGTAATACCCTTCCCATTGTTCCAACGATTTCACGCTCCAAATCGAACAATTCCAACCAGTCCAAGACGCATGAACATACATACATACATACATACATACATACAAATGGATGTAAATAAGTGCTTATCCGGCCCTGCTACTGTCCACCAGCCTAGTTCAGCCAATGCTTTTACGGTTTTCAATTTCAACCATTTCATCTCATTCAATTTACGATTTGTCAAAAATTTTATTTTGACATTTAAATGGCGTTGACATTGGTAGGCCGCAGCTATTGCAACTGACTGTACATATTGTATGAAAATAATTATATTTGTGTGTGAATTTGACATTGCAGTGACAGTTGCTTGACTGTCGGCTGCTGGCCGTTGCTGTTCATGTTCATGAGCAACTGTTGCTCAAAGTCCCTGCAGATTCTTAGCCAACGTTTTTTTTTCTCAACATTTTTTAAAGAAAAATAGTCAAGCAATAAAACGGCGAGTATGACCGTCAGAGTGTAAGGCAGTTATTTGTGCGAGCGAGGCAGCGTTGCAACATCACAAGCGCTTTAATGCATTATGATCGCTTGAAAGACTGTATGCGATCTTGCGATCAAATGACACAAATTAATGAGTCTTCCCTTCAAACGAGTTTTTATATACATATATGAACTTAATAAAGCATTGGTCTCATGTGTGTGTATGTATGTATGTATGTATGTAATCCCATGCTGTTCAAAGTGCTGCTGCCCAGATGTGCCATACAACTTTGTTGAATTAACAGTTGTTGCTCTTATATGTTTTATTATTATGCTTTGTTTTTCTTTCACATCATATTCTGTCATTTTTTCATTTTTAGTTTTGCCTCTGTATTTTTTTCTCTGCTCTTCATATTTCGTGCGGCTTTTATTTTTGCTTTTGTGCTATGCGACTTTCCGCTCTAATTAAAATTTATTAAACGCTCGCTTTGTTCGAGTATTCTGCAGTTAGGGCAACAATTAAAGTCTAATTTGTTGAAGCTGTGAAAATGATTAAATGCGATGCTTACTAGAGAACGTCAGAAGAGTGTTGGCGCTTTAAAATTAATAAACGGATTAAATAGTTTATATGACAAAGATCTCGAAAGAAAACGTTTCCGAGTCCAAATTGAAAGTGGCATTTGGAGACAAAAAGTCAGGATTGTGATAAAAATTGTTTAGAATAGTCAAAGATGGTTAAAGATGCTTCAAACATTTCTTAAGCACAGGGACCAAACATAACAGTTATTGATGAAAACTTTCATTTTAAAATTCTCTATGAAGGAAATGTTATACGACTAAGTGATACATAACAATTGATTTATTTTCTCACCCGGAATCAAATTTGAAAAAAAAAAATTATTTGTAATTTGTATGCAAAATTATAAAAAAATAACAATTATTTTTGATTTTTATTTAAAAAATCCAAAATGACGATTAGTTTAGATTTTTATTTAAATATTATTTTTGATTTTTAAGTTAATTGTTCTAGATAACAGTTATTGTAACTTTTATTTATAAAAGTCATCATTAAAAATCAGTCAGTGACTTTTCCTTTTAAAAGTCATCAATATAAATCAGTCACCGACTTTTATTTTTTAAATCATACGTATAAAAGTCATTATCATTTTTCGCAGTTAAGAAGGTGTTGGAGTGCAAAAATTTACTACAACTTATACAAATGACTTTTATAAGTATGATTTAAAAGTAAAAGTCACTGACTGATGTTTACTGATGACTTTTATAAATAAAAGTCTTCGATAACTGTTATCTAGGACAATTAATTTAAAAATCCAAAATAACTGTTATTTGCAGAATATTTAAATAAACATCAAAAATAATTGTTATTTGGGGTTTATAAAATAAAAATCATCAATAACTGTTATTTAAGGAGTAGTTAAATAGAAGTCAAACAATAACTGTTAAAGAGCGATTTGTTTAATTAAAATTGTAACTGTTACGATCCCTGCCTAAGCAAGCACTCAAAAGACGACAGAGCTGGTTTTGGTGATATCTTGTTTTAAGTTTAAAAAAATTTCAAGCTTAATTTCAAGATGTGGTGTAGTGGTAAGCAGTGCGCGCTTCCACTCCGCAACGCCTGGGTTCAAACCCTGGTCAAAGCAACATCGCAAAAAATATAGAAAAAAGGTTTTTTCTTAACAGCGGTCGTCACTCGGCAGGCAATGGCAAACCTCCGAGTGTATTTCGCTTCTCATAAAAATACAATCGC